AATGTATTAAACTAAACATCCTACAGTATTTTTACAGTCTTTATTTTACAGTTAAATTTATGTTTATTAAATAAAGTCTAATGTTACAACTAATCATGGATCCTTTTATATATTAACTACCTAAAATTTTCAGGTAACTCACAGACATGACTGTAAAATGTGAACAGTCACATTAAGTAAGTGAACTTTATTTCTATAGCACCTTTCACAGACACAAACATCACAAAGTGCTTCACAGAGAGCAAAATAACTAAAAACAATAAAACAGATCACAGATATAAAAAACAACAATGAAAACACAAGAAAAATCACTTGAACTAAAAGCCTGTCTGAATAAAAATGTCTTAAGAGCCAGAAGAGTGAAGGGACACTTTGGGAATCCTACCTGACTTAAAACAGGGAAGATTTAAAAGGATTTACTGTCTGACTGTAATAAAAACAGGATTTCTGTGTAGACAGTGTATGTAAACATGTTTCAACTGGTTCTCATCAACCACTGGATGAGTTTTATTGAAACTTTAAACCATTAAATATATGTAAATGGGTCTAGCTGTGAGTGGTTTAACCTGCAGGCTGTAGGTCTCTCAGACAGTCCAGAATAAAGGCTTCTGTCTGTTTTTGAAGAATGTTATCAAGAATTACACTTTCAGTCTTTCGTGGCTGTGATATTGGTCTTCCTGTAAGACCTGAAACAAATAAAGGTGAAGCTTTCAGCAGTGAAGTTTAGCTGTCTCAGTGTACCATGTTAAGCTCTGAGGGGAAACAGTTTGCTGCATGCTGCCTCCTCTAAATGTCTGGCTCCATCTTGTGGCCTGGTGTGGTACTGATGGCTGCTCTCTTCAAGCCTTTAAAGCTGCTAGATTTGAAGGAGGTGAAGGAAATGTTGTAACTGATTAATTGAACGTTAGATGCAGTAATGTATTTTATACTTTCTGATCATTGTAAGGTTAAAGCAGACAAACAGTTGGTGTTATTCATGTGTTTAAACAACACATGTCTTTAGTCTAAACACACACTTTAGTCTAAACAACATGAGTTATGTTCTGATGTCTGATGTAAAAGCAACACCTCCAGGGGTGTAACCAGGAGGAGATGTACATTATAAGGTTAATTCATTATTATAAGTAGTCAGTGTGTTGCAGAGTGTGCTCAGAGCAGGGCTGTTTTGTTTTGGTCCAGCTCCAGGTCTTACTGAGACCTGCTGAGTCTGTACTGGGAACCTRACTGGAGTCAGAAGACAGAATAAATCCACTGGATTCTGTTGATTCAGACATGCTGTTTTTGAACAACACATTAATTTGCACAGTGGCAAAGCTAAAAACTGGCCTGTTTATGTTTGTTTTCAGACAAACATGTAGGTCAGGTACACACACTGAGAGTGGACCTCTCTACTACTTTCTCTTTGAGGGCTGAAACTGTCAGCTTGCTTTGAAAACCTACTTTTATACCAGAGTATCTGGGGACATTCTCCCCACTTGACCTGACTTCCTCCTGACTCCTACATCTTTTCTGCAGTGGAGCAGCAGCATCTTCATATCCTTGTGTCTTTAAATGGACTGGACCAGTGATCTCAGGAGAAGTTTCCAGCTTTTCAAATCTTCAGTTTATAATATAACCACACAGAGAAACTCATTTCAGAAATATGGTTTTTCCATTGGATAATGGACATAATTGCCTTGGCTTAAAACTCTGGGTGTGTGCTGCCATCAGAGGGTTGGAACCAGGGCTGGGCCATATCATACCATTCACGATAATACCGTTAAAAAAAACAAAACTTACCCAGGTAAATAAATTACACCATGACATGCTAATTTCATGACAGACATCATTTTGCCCATGTTGGAGAACCTGCTTGTTTTCTGTGGTGTCGTTAGAGTCGCCCAGTCTGATCCAGGTTTAAACAGACGCTGCTTTCAACAAATCAAACGAACCCCACAGATTTATCCAATCAGAGCAGAGCAGCCTGAGTTTGAACACTTGCTCAACTACAAGCCTCATTACCCCACAGGCTGTGGTGGATACAGTTCCTCTAAAGCACTAATAGGGAACTCATTTCCTGATTAGTGCTTTAGGGCTTTTGTAATTTTAAAATTTATTAGTGGATTAGCACTTGCTACATTTATAATGTAAGGGATGAGTTACTTATGCAAATAAGCTCACCTTACATCTACTCATAACAAAGTTATGAGAGTAAATTTTACCAAGGTTTTCCTCATTACTCTAATATTTGTCTGTGCAAAGGGAAGTGACACAATGAGGGAACGTCAGACGAGTTCAAGTTGATTCATAAAAGATTATGCAATCATTTATTTACACAAATTGAACAAAATCATAGTTACACCTGATTGTGGGTTTNTCCTGTTTCTTCACTCGAGGTGACCCCTACATTGATGTGCTTAATGACCACCTTCCTTTCAGAAAAAAACTGACTTTGATCCAAAATGGCAGCTTGAGGATGGCAGCCATGTTCCAGGCATAGCCTAAAAAAAACTCCCCCTCACCCTTTACATGCTGGAGTAGTCAGTTATTACATTTTCCTTTTTGTTTCTGAAATATAACAAAGTATGATGTGTCTTCTTGTTGACTTCCATAAGAGCAATATGTTTGTGACAAAGTTTGTTTCTTTTTTAGGTGTTGGAGAAGGTGGACGTGGAACAGAAAATGAGCATCCGGTTTCTTCACTAAGTTTTAGCTGTTTTTCATTCTGAGTAGAGCTTGGACTTTTCATTTGATTTCAGAGGGCAGCTGTGGCCCATGTTCACAGTACACACATGTTCACAGTACACACATGTTCACAGTACACACGTGTTCACAGTACACACGTGTTCACAGTACACACAATCACATCAAGTATTTGGTAGATGATTCTGAGTTTCTGCCTTTGCACAGCTCTGTAAACAAAGGGAAAAGATGTGTGCCTTTCAGTTGTTTTATGCAAATGTCACTGTATATTTGAACAATAATGCAACTATATTTATTAGARAAGTTTCAGATGGTCATAATGAGGACCTCTGCTGACCAGTGCAGTACTGGGTAAGACTAATCAAAGCTTATCAACTCATTAATGAACACATCTTTATAAGAATATGCTTTAGTTTCAGATTGGTAAAATGGGTTATTCTGCTTGTGGAGTCGGTGTTTATAATGCTAACAGGATGTTATGAATATTTTCTGATTTGGAGCAGAACTAATCTGTTGAGGTAAGGTGAAATCTGCTTCACAGATTATTGATTTACTCTCTGATGTGCCATCATGGTTTTGGTTCCTATTAATTATTAACAGATATGGATAAATGTGTTGGTACCCTACCACAACAATAAATACATAAAAAACAGATGCAACTGTCCAAAAAGCTCCAGATGTGTCCCATTATTCCCAGAGGTTCTCCCAAAACCTGGGCTTGTCAACATGCATTTTGTTTCTGTCACTGATGGAGCCTAATATGATTCAGAATGTGAGAAATGGTTCAACCAGAGATTAATGTACTTTTATCTCAAGAGTCCATTTTGAATGGTTTTAGATGGTTTCCTTTTTTTTTTTTTTTTTCTGTCTGATCAACCTGGGGCTGCAATTATTGCATCCACATCCTGGACGGTTGGCTACAGCCTGATAAACCTACCTTTTCCCTGCTGTAGTCAGAGGAACAAAAAGCTGCTTGGAGATGGTCTTGTTGCCTTATATCTATAAAACTGTATATCTATAATACTTTATACCTACAATGTTGTCTGAGCTCGTCACAGGTCTCGCCTGAATCTGTCCAGTGGCTCTTTGTTCTCTCTGAAACGGCTGAAAGCTCCTGTGAAACTAATGGAAAGATTAATTTCTTTTAGCAYATCAACAAATCTGTCTGTAATATTTAGCATATCTTCATAAACAAATTAAATATTTTTGTTTACTCCATCACATATTAATATGAGTACATTATACTAATGCATTAGATGTTTGTTTTTAACTGAATCTCAAGAGAAATGAATCATTTTATCAATGAGCTAAAGGGGTACCAACTAGTTTATCTGTGTCTGTTTCTCAGCAGGAATGTGTTTGTATTTAGTTTAAATGTTGATATTGTGTAGATTAAACTAGCAGTTTATCAATAACTATTATTTGTTGTTTTCTTTAGAAGTTGGAGTAACTACAAAATATTAAAGCAATGTTTTGTTTGTGAAGACTTTAGCGTATTTTCCTTCCTAACAGCTGTGCTAACAAGTACAGGATTTATGCCCTGATTTCATAGTTTGCCACTTTAAGATTTGATGAAAGCCTGCGTGGTGTTGGACCAGGTGCTGGACATCACACAGGATGGATAACATGATACACTTCTGTTAGAATCTAACTGTGGCCAATTCAAATACTCCTGAGCACATATTTGATTTCCCCACTGAAGAGAATCAAGTTAATTATGTAATCTTCATAAAGCAGGGAGTGGTCTGTGTACTGTGAGTTTGTTCAATCATTGCACCTKCCAGCAGCAGGACAGAAACAACCTTTCAACCTTTTGTTAATAATTAAGTGAACATCAGTCAGATGTGATTCACGTTGATGATCTTTGTGTAAAAGTGATTCTTGAAATGGATTATAATAAAAAATGTGCCATGCAGTCTGTGTTATCATTTGTTGGGAGGGTTACAGTATWTTTCCACTGACTGAACATTAAAGCAGAGGAAAGTTATGTGCAGCTTCAGGTTGGTGTGTTTGACTGTACTGCTGCCACAGTATTATGAATCATTGATGGGATTTTGGTGAAACCTTTGTAAAGTTAATCCAGTTGTAGTGGTACATCTAATCCATTGGCTGTATGTCTACAAGTGATCAACATGTTGGAGTCCACATCATTCAAGGAGGCGTCACAAAGTAATCTTACAAAACAAGAACGACTATAACTCATGCAGATATCCTGTACAGATACAGAACTAAACTTTGGTGTGGCAGTGACTGAGAATCATTCACAACACATGCTCCAAACATGAACACATTATTCATTATTTTCAAGGTTCATTCAGTATCTTTGTTCCAAAATTCCAGAGAAACCTGCTAATATAGAATATATGTAAAGATGGTACGGTACAGGGGAGCCAGGACGACCCTCTACTATCCCAGTACAGGGTATACTATCCCAGTACAGGTACCCATTGAAAAGCTCTAATGAACTGAGTACAAACGAACTGAAAACTGATCAAGCACCCATAACCTGCACCACAACTCCACAATGCCTGGCCAGTCAAAAGCTCACTCATTTTTTGTTGGACCAACTCCAGCTTTGATTATAGCATGCGTTCTCTGAGTCGTCATTTCCACAAGCTTCTTGCTACAGTTATTTTCTGAGTCCTCACTGGACCATCGTTTATTCCAGCTTAATGTCTTTTTCATGACAAAACCATGGGGAAAAGTGTGCAGAAAACTGCTGCTGTTGTCTTTCATAGAATTCAAGTTAGAATTCAAGTTAGGGTTAATGTCAGTGTCTGAAGTCACAAGAAACTTGTCAGCAGATAGAACTTTGCAGGATTTAGTAAAAGACTCAGACAGGTAAGATCATCTTCAAACATCTTTGAGAAAAAACAAACTTTATTAGTTGAAAACAAAACTAAACAAATGAGAGCTCAGTGTTGTGTAAAGTACCACAAAGTGATACTTGAGGAAAAACAGTGGATACAGTTCCYYTAAAGCACTAATAAGGGAACTCATTTCCTGATTAGTGCTTTAGGGCTTTTCTAATTTTAAAATTTATTAGTGGATTAGCATTTGCTACATTTATAAGCACTAACTGAGGTGTATAAATGTTATTGATCAACATTAATGTTAACAGCTGAGGGTGRAAGCTGTCAATCATTTTGTTGACATGTGTCAGTGATCCACCAGGTGATAATACTGTATATGAGCCCAAACAGCTGAATGTCAATGAGAAGACTTCATCATGTGAATCATGTTGTCTGCTGAACAATATTCATGGGTTGACTGGCTTATTTTAGTGCTTTACAATTAGGGGACCTARATATTAGAGTTAGTGCTTTAGGGTTAGTGGAAGTAAGTTTTAGATTAGTGCTGCCCACCACTGAGTAAAAGTACAAGTATCTTACAAAAGAATTACTTTGGTAAAAGTTAAAGTCTCCTTTAGGTCTCCTCCTAATAAATGTCATTACAACTAATCTAACATGAGCAGTTAGATTTGTTGTAATGACATTTATTAGGAGGAGACCTAAAGGAGACTTTAACTTTTACCAAAGTAATTCTTTTGTAAGATACTTGTACTTTTACTCAGTGGTGGGCAGCACTAATCTAAA